GCCCCCGGCCCTCGCCGCCCCCCCCTCCCAGGCCCGCGCCCGCACCGGGCGCACAGGCGACGGCCGGAGATGCGGCTGGGGGGGGGGAGGCTGAGGGTAATTCCAGGGGCGGAGCTTTCCTCGCGGCGCTCTGCCCGAGGCGAGGCCGGGAGAAGTTGCCGTCTGGGCCAGCCCAGGTGAAGAGGCTCTCTCTGCTTTGGCCCTGGAGTCCGGGTAAGGCCGGGAGGCTGACAGGGGAGTTGGGAGTCCGGGTAAGGCCGGAGGTTTTTGGGCGGATCGGGACGCCGTTTTGCGCGCCGGTGGATCATTTTGCCGAAATGTTTGGGGAAAGCGTGGAGCAATAGGGGCTCCTTGACTTTTCTTCAGCGCGAAGGAGGAGGGGGACTCGCGGCGGAGAATTCGTCCCCGGTTTATTTCCAGAAAGGGGTGACTCACCCTGTGGTGGATGCCTGCACTTTCTCCTTCTCTCGCTCGGGCCTGTGAGCGACCGGCTGGAGCAAATTGCCCTCAGCTCCTGCATTTGGCTGCTCCGCCCAAGTGCTGGAATAACTGTTTTACCCTTGTGTATTTTCCACCGTAGAGTGGCCGTTGATGTAATTTTCTTGTCCCATTGACCTTCTTGCGTTCATGGTTAAAGTCCGCTGAGCGCAGTTTTGATCTTGTGTGAGTGTAAACGGATCTTGCTGATCTTGCTTTAGAGAGGGACAGAGAGTACCTTCTGGGCTGCCAGAAGCCACAGCCCGAGAAATCCAGGTATCTTCCTTTAATTGTTTCTCGCGGGCCAAGAAGCAATAGGGGAACACAAGGTTCTGAGCCATTCTCCCTCATGATGCGGGGTCCTCATAAATTTGGCTGAAGTATCTTGCTAGAAAGGGAATCGTTTACATGTTTATTGTTCCAGTATGAGCCGTGGCCTATGGTTTTGCTTGTTCTTGGATTTCACATTTGCAATCCAGAGTTCAGTCAAAATATAAATATAATTTGGCATGTTGAAAAGGAATAATGGTTTCTCATCGGCCTGGTGAAGGGCAATGGGGCGAGAAAAAGTAACTGTGGCTTAAGATGGAGGAACTGTTCTCAGTTGGGATTAGTGTGTGCTGGAACAGCCAAACGTTTCGTTATTAATGGGGGACTTTCAGAAACACCAGTATTGTCAATATGCCCTGTGGAAGTGAAACCTGAACCTAGTATACAGTAGTCCTAGGGTATCCAAGAAATACATTTTTAATCTTTTAATTTTTCAGGCACTTGCCCAGGTTAGAAATTCCAACTCTCCAGTCTGAAATTATGGTAGTTTATTGGCTCACATTTAATGTTTATTCCATGTCACAAATGAGATGCTTGAAGGTGATCAAAGATATTGATTAGCATTGGAAATGTGTATAGAGAACATAATGGGATTTTAATAAGTGGTACCTGATGCCTAGTTTTGAAACTTTTGCCTTGGGCAGGTTTATTCTTGTATATGGCAGAAGACAGAAATGTGCTGTAACTCCCAGCAGCCACAGTTGGCACAGCCTGCGGTGAGGATGCTGGGAGCCAAATCTGGACAGCCACAGGTTCTCTGTCCCTGCTGTGAAGGCTCTTATCTCTTTCTAAGGATTACTGTATCAAACATACACAGCTTCTGAGCGAAAAACTGATATGTGTCGTTAAATTAAACTCTGAAATTGAAGGCTTGGTGTGATTATCTAGACCCTTTTCTCTGCAGTGCAATTCAGATTAGATTAGAATTTAGGACAAATTTTCTGAATGAAGAAATCGGTTTTGGTTATGAAATCCTCAAGGATAGCACATAGGGAATAATTAATATTGTAGCTATATTATTTTAAACCAAAAATGCAAGCCAGCCAATTTCTTGAATGCAGGCAGCCTCAGAAGGTTAATCCTAAAAGGCAGAAATTATCCACCGTTTTGATATCTTCATTGTCAGTCCTAAGGCTGGTTGTTCCACCTGTTGTCATTAGCTTGGTCTTCTTTATGTTTAATTTTAGTCCCATTTTTTCATTGTGCTCCTTGGCTTTCATTAGTAGCGCTTGTAGATGCTTTGCATTTTTGGTTATCAGGGTAGCGTCATCAGCAGAGAGCAGGTTATTCATGTTTCTTCCTTCAGTTTTAAAACCATGTTCATCTTCTTGCAATCCAGCTTCCCTTAATACATATTCATCATATAGGTCGAATAAATAAGGGGAGAGTATACAGCCTTGTCACACTCCTCTGCCAACCTGGAGCCAGTTTGCTTCACTGTGTTCTGTCTCTACTGCAGCTTCCTGACCTGGATATAAAGTTTCCATAAGGACAGTGAGATGTTCTGGGATTCCCATTTTCTGAGCACATTCCACAGCTTGATATGCTCAGCTGAAGGCCTTTCTATAATCACGGAAGCACGTAATGACTTCTTTTTAGTATTCTTTGGCTTTCTCAGTTATCCAGCATCCATCAGCAATAATGTCTCGCTTTCCTTAGCCTTTTCTGAAACCATCTTGACCATCTGGTTTCTCTTTTTCCATGTAGGACTCTAATCTGTGTTGGATGATCCTAAGCACTATTTTGTTAAACCTCCTTTTTTGGATATTGAAATATAGAGTTACCTCTTTCAATCAATTGGCCACTGTGTTGTTCACCAGATAGCTTAGTTAGAACATTTACTAATTCTTCTTTTGTTGTTTGCCATATTTCAATGGGTATTGCATCAGTTCCTGCAGCTTTTTGACTTGGTAATGATCAGTGTGCTGATCTAATTTCATCTTCTACTACTAGAGATTCTTGTAAGTAGAGAATAGCTTTAAGGTATCTTGGATCTTGCCATCTCTACTGTACAGTATTTCAGTATACTCCTTCATCTTAGTTTGATCTCCTTTGAATCAGATACTGTCTGTGCACTGGGGTCCTTTAGCATACTAATTCAGTGCTGAAACTTCCTGAGTTCAGAGGTTCAGTTTTTAGAAGACTTTCCTTGTTTTTTTGTGTCTGTTTCCACTTTCAATGTCTTTATAGATTTCATTGTAATAATGCTTTTTGTCTCTTCTAAACAGTTCTCTGAAACTTTTTGTTAAGTTCCTTTCGGAGATTTTTGTCATTCTTGGCTTTGGCTTCTCTTCTCTTTTTGTTCTGACATCCAATTTACTTTCTTCCCTTCATTTTTGGCAGTGTCTTTTCACATTCATCCTTAATGACTTCTTTAAGTTCATTTCCATAATTCCTCTGCTTCCCTATCAATGAGGTTTAGGACCTCAAAGTAATTCCTGATGTTCTCCTTGAAAATGGTAGGTATATGTTCAAGATCATATTGTGGAAACTGGCCTTCTTCTTTACCTTGACTTGGAACTTGCACATGAGCAGCTCATGATCTGTTCCACAATCAGCACCTGGCTGTATCTTTGATGCCCAAATTGAGTTGTTATACCTCCTTTTAACAATAATATAGGGACGCGGTGGCACAGCAGCTTAATGACACTGAAAGTCGCTGTCCAGAAATGGTTGACAATTCAGTGGTTCGAGCCCAGCTCCGCACAGCAGAGTGAGCTCCTGCTTCCTCCCCAGCTCCT